TTTAGAATTTTTTTTACTCTTTGTGTTGGTTATATTAATTCCAATCAATTATCTACCTTATCACGGTACTTACTAAGAGTGGGGGTGTTAAATTATCTAGATATGAATGGATCTAATTCCTCAAAAGCGTGTAGCTTTAAGTGTGAATCACGAAACCTATGTAACTCGAACTATAGATATATTCTTCAACTATATAATTCGGTCGTGATTATGATTGAATCCTTAGCCTCTCCCGCAAGTAAAAATGTAAAACTCAAACTAAAGTACTTAACAATCAATATTGAACAAAAAAAATAGTTTGAACATATAATTATGAATTTAGTCTTTTGCTTATAACTTCAATTCCTTTGTAAGTTACAAATACATGGGGTGAATTTCAAATACATATATAGCATGTTACTTGTGAATGTCAAATGAATATCAACAACTAATTATTTGAAACCTCATCACAGCAGTAAGCCGAACCTATTTGTAAAGTTGTAAAAGATCAAATACTACAGTGTGCAAAAATATATACAGGTACTAAAATATAATTTTATCATAAAATTTTTTGGACCATTTATACAAAAAATCAAAGTTTGTGTACTAAATTATAGGAAAGAATAAATAAGGATACTACATTATGTTTTTAAAAAAATTGTTATGTACGAACAGAAAACTCAAAATCAAGAAACAAATTCACTAAAATACCAAAACGTTGCAAATGAACGCCCAAACAATAAATTTGAATCATATATATTAAATGCAAGCATTTCAAAAAATTTATTTTAAATACCTCCATTTTGGATAGATACATTTTAAATACGTCAATCGAAATGCAAACTAAAAAAATGTTTTATTGATGCAATATTTTAGAGGACGCACACTTTATACATTACTCCCACCTTCTATATGTCAACATACGGGTGAATTACACAATTGGTCACCCGAATTACATAAAAATTTCACATTTGCCACTCGAATTACAAACCTTGCTTATTGGTCATTAACTTTACGAAACATTTCACCGTAGCCATTGGCCGTTAGCCTCTGTCAGACTCCATTAACGGCGTCAGATTTTTTATGACGTGGCAATAGAAAACTCTGACTGGGTGGACAAAAAGGTTGAGTCAGCCCAAATACCCGACCCACCAAGGCAGCCGACGCGGAAAAGGACGAAGCCCACTATATTTTAGTTTGATTTAATTTTTTCTTTTTACTTTTGGGAAAAGACCGATTCCCCTTCTTCTTTCCTCTGGTCGCGCGATTCTTCTTCCTCCCTTTCTTCACTCCAGCAGAGCCTGCAAGGATAGCCGGCCGGTCAATCGAGTGCAGGGGAGGTGCGGGTGACCAAAAAAACCCAATCTTCCTTCTTCAGCGCCGATGAGCTCAAGATTTTGACCTAGCGGCTTTCGAATTCGCAATCGGTGTCGTCGGATTCCTTGGAGAAAGCTATCGTCTGATCCGGACGACGGGTCTGACCGGTCATGGCGGCACTTCCGGTGCCCTAGCCGTTGCCTTTGCCTCATCGTCATTTCCACAGGAGGCAGTAGTCTGCGTGTTCTAATTTGGGGCAGGGTCGTCCCCTCGGGTCGCCCGACATAATCCCGTTCTCTTCCTCCTGGTAGGGCTCCGACACCGACTCCGTTTTCATCTTTCATTTTATCATTTCCCTGTAATTTTAATTTTAGGTTTAACTATTTTTCCTTATTATTGTTCACTTCTCTGTGGAGAATGAACCGAACCAGACTTGCAGGAAAGGCAGATTTTCAGATTCTTGGGTAGCTCCTTTCGTCGGTTACTGAGAGATTTCAATGGCAGTTCTGTGGAGAGCCGAGAAGGGAAAAGATTTACGAAACAGCTTGTGGATGAGCTCCTCGGCAACAAGATGATCTCTTGGCAATCGATCAATGAACTAAGAAATTCTTACTTCCTTGAAGAGGAGCTCTTCTCTCAAAAGTAAAAGAAAAAATTAAAGCAACTAAAAAATAGTGGGCTCTCTCCTTTTTTGGGTCGGGTGCCTTGATGGCTCGGGTTTTTAGGTTGACTCAGCTTTTCTGTCAACCCAATCAGAGTTTCCGTTTGCCATGTCATCAAAAATCTGATGTCGTTAACGAAGCTTGACGGAGGCTAACAACCAGTGGCTACGGTGAAATATTTCGTAAAGTTAGTGACCAATAAGCAAGGTTTGTAATTCGAGTGACAAATGTGAAATTTTTATATAATTCGGGTGACCAATCAAGTAATTAACCCGTCAACATACGTAAAGGAGATTTCAAAAAAAAATTACATAAAGGAACAGAACATATAGTAAAAAGATCCATGAAAACAACTTTTATATATATATATGGTGGCTACTTCGGCGCACTCACTTTTTTGGGTGCACTCAGTGCACCCAACTCTAAAAGTGTCCATAGTACATCAAATTTTGAATTTTAATTAGTACTCTCAATCTAATATGATGATATGAGATATAATCATAACAAATCAATCTATTACCCTAACCTCTTAACCTTCAATTTTGAATCGCAACCCAAAATTCCAAATTGTAAACCTAAACCCTAACCCTAAATCCCCAAATCCTAAATCTTTCAAATTAAAGTAAATTTTGAATGATTTTTTTTTTCAAATTCATGTGCTTTTTGTTCATAATATCATAAGCAACAATTGATACCGTTTTGACAAGGATCGCATGCTCAGAATGACAATTATGAGGCGGGTGCACTGAGTGCACCCAAAAAAGTGGGTGCACCGAAATATTCACCATATATATATATATATATATCCGAGGAGGAAGATAATTAATTATTCATTGGAGGACAAAGTAGACAACATTTGGGCTTGCGATAAAATAAACCTAACAATCAACCAGCTTGATCGATCTCGTCCCATGTGAGGGCTTGGCTTATTGATTTTCTGCAGATAGATTAATCATTTTCTTGTCGATTCTATAATGAAATGTGATAAGAAAATTGGAAACAGAAAACGAAATGAGATATATAATAGGTGGCATTGGCAACTGGAAAGATTATTATTATAGGTATTTGGTATTGCCGTTAGTTTGTTGGTTTTTGCAAGAAACCATTGCAAAACCTATTAGTAAGTGACATCACAATATATTGTGTGTGAAAGCACAAAGATCCAATAGTCGGGAGCGTTTGATATCTACCCAACTTGATCAATGATGGTCTGGTGATAATAAGAGAGATGATGAACTTCTTCTTATGACTCGAGATGAAAAGTAAATTGAAACTCGATGAGTTTTAGACTAAAATTTTCGTATTCTATTTGAAAAGGTTTACTATCACAAAATAACTACAATTTACGATTGAACACTCTTCCAATTTTCAAATTTCGCCTTGCTTTTTTTTTTTTTTGTGTGCTAACGAGCAATATATGTAGCCAGTCTCTTCTAATCATTTTTTAACCTAAAATAAAAAATAGGCAAATCCATCAACACTGCATTTCCACGTTTCAACTCTCAACCATAACTGATTACAACCTTGTTGTTGGTGTGACTTGTATCTTAGCAGCAAAAAAAAAAAAACTAAATTAGAAAGATAAACGTCAATCGCATCGATCATATGTTTCATAATAAATAATTGATTAATCTATCGGCAGAAAATCAACAACAATGCATATAAGTGGGATATCAACCTAGTATATATTTCGCAATGCGCGAAATCGAGATATTTCGAAAATATCTACACACTAACCTAGCTAGGGCATAATTAAGTACTCGTGTACTACTACTGCTCAAACACAGAAGTACAATGTACTAATGCACCCCATGTGTATCTTGCTAGCAACAAAAAAATGCAAGGCTGGGATAAACATGTGAGTACTTTACGTTACGAATAACCACATCAAATCCCCAAAATCAGAAAAAACAAAAACAAACAAACTATGGATGCTCATTTTATTCAAAAAAAAAAAAAAACATGGATGCTCATCTTTCTGAGAATGTCGACATTATTTCACTTGGGGAATCACTTCCAGTGACAGTAGTTTTAAAAAGGTTCCATGCAGCAAAAAGGTGATCGAGGGCCTACGCTACGACTGCTTGCTGCTGTATCTTCTCTTCAGAGACTTCTAGTAGCCTAGCACAGGGACAATTACAGCAGCCCAGGCAGCACAGCAGTAGTAGTGGAGGTTACTTTGGAGTTATTGTTAATTGTTTTGTATCGTTGGACATTTGACTCAGTGAGATAAAAAAAAAAAAAAAAAGTGGTAAGTTGTTTGATCACATTTTCCCAAAAAAGAGGCTATGGAGTATGGAGAGACAGCATTGTGGTCCTAAACAAAAACAAATTAACGAACCCTAGCTACTTCTCCATTCCCTCTCCATTAATCCTATTGTAGCTAAACCTTTTCTTAGTAAATAATTCAATCTAGCAAATTTATCACAAGGTTTCTCTGAAACGAAACAATTTGGATCAAGTAAATTGTTTTAGCTAGAAAATGCATAGCCTCCAGCAATTTACTTGATTGCAAAAAAGTAGTAATCTCTAATGTCGCATGTCAAAATGCTTAAAATGATTGTTAAATTAGTCGCTTTAGCATAAACACCACATTATGAAACAATTATACCAGATCATCTCACCCAAATTAGCTATACCTATAACAATGAGATGAAAACCTGTAGATCACTTGTCAAATGTGCATGTCAAAAAAAAGATAAAAACTTGTAAATCATTTGTCAAATGTGCATGTAAAAAATGAATAAAACTCCGATGACAAGATTGCATAAGTTAAGAATAAGTTTCGGATTAAGAACTCCAAATAACTTGTTATTTGGAGTTTAACCCAAATCAAGTTATTTGGAGTTTAACCCAAGTCACCTACACATGGATAGTATAGAATAATGTTTTCCTGCAAAATGGTTCTATATATACCACAGAGATTTGCCCAAATTTAAAAAAAAAAAAAAACAGATTTGCCCTAATTTATCAAAACATCTTGCCCAGGAATGAACCCCAAAACTACAAGAGTTAAAAGATAAGCTTTTCATTCTTGTCCCTGTAAATTTTAAATCACCACCTTCACTTCATTGGATACATCGAAACAACAGTTCTTCCTTGGGCTCGACACTTAACACGGCATGAAAGTGAAAGAAGAATAAACTATACGAACCAAGCAAAGCGGCAAATTATTGGCCAAACCATTACTCTATAGACTAATACTACACCCTCCATTTCTTTCTATATATTATTAAAGAAAGCATCGAACCAGGCAACTGGCCAATCCTCGTCTCCTTCATGGCCCCCACATTCTCCCCATAAATAGTGACCTCACGACGGCCTTTCTCTTCAACCTCTTCTGCAATCTGCACACACACACACACACAAAGAAAGCAAGCAAAGAGTGAAAGAACGGTTTTTGTTTTCACTCTCTCATACCATAACCTCATAGTGTCGACATGGGAGCTTGCCAGCAGCAAGACCTTCTGGTGAAGACCGTGTGCGACCTCTACGACCAAATCTCTGCCCTCGACAGCCTCAAACCCTCCAAAGATGTCGACACCCTCTTCACCCAGCTCGTCTCCACGTGCATCCCTCCCTCCCCCATCGACGTCAACAAGCTCTGCCACAAGGTCCAGGAGATCAGGTCCAACCTCATCAAGCTCTGCGGACAGGCCGAAGGACACCTCGAGTCTCACTACTCTGCCATCTTAGGCTCCCACGAGAAACCACTCCACCATCTCGACATCTTCCCTTACTACTCCAACTACCTCAAGCTCAGCCTCCTCGAGTTCAACCTCCTCAAGCAGCAGCAACAATCTTCCTCAGTTCCCAAGAGGGTCGCCTTCTTGGGCTCAGGACCGCTTCCCCTGACCTCGATCGTCCTCGCCACCAACCACCTCACCACGACCTCGTTCCACAACTACGACATCGACGCCAGGGCCAACGAGCTGGCTCAGGCGCTGGTGTCGTCCGACCCTGACCTGTCCGGTCGGATGTTCTTCCACACCGTGGATGTGATGGAGCTTGGCAGCGACGAGCTGAGGGAGTTCGATGTGGTGTTTCTGGCGGCTCTGGTGGGGATGGACAAGGAAATGAAGCTGGGTGTGATTCGCCACCTGGCCAAGCACATGGCTCCGGGGGCGATTCTCATGCTGAGAAGCGCCCACGGAGCCAGGGCCTTTCTGTACCCTGTGGTGGAGCCGAGCCATGATCTTCAAGGGTTCGAGGTTCTGTCGGTTTACCACCCGACGGATGAGGTGATCAACTCGGTCGTGGTCGCCCGTAAGCAAGTGGCGCGGGCGCCTCTGGCCCCTATGCAGCTGATCAATGATAACCATCACCAGCAGCAACAGCAGCAGCAGACTTTTATGGTTCCTTCCTGCAAGTGTTCGGAGATTGCAGCTTTCAAGCCGCTGGGTAACCACCATGGTTGCATGATGATCGAGGAATTGACCGTGGAAGAGCAGCTCTCCTGAAACATCATCATCTACAAATCATCACCATGTCTGTGTTAATTATGAAATCATTCATATGCATCTTTTTTTTTTCTCTCTTCTTTTTCTTCTTGAAATTTGGTTTTCCCCTTTTCATTGTGGGAAAACATCTTTTACTATTACTGCAGCTGCTACTGCTATACTAAGACTGCATCTTAGTTTTATATGACTATCATGGATGCCTAACGTGTTCCCCTCTTGCCTGTAATATTATGCTAGTGTTTGTGCTGAAGTTCGTGAGAAATAAAAAGGTACCCAATTTTAAACATCTCTTTGCTGTGAAAGAGTCCTGGTCAGTATTCTTGTTGGGTCAATGTAGCTGCTGGTAAGATTCGCAAGGCTTCAAACGGTTCCCTTTTCCCAATACCCTTTGACCCTTTGCAGGGAATAATAAGGGTCACTAGTTGGTTGAAACTGAAGCAGGTAGCTAGGGATGAAGAATAGTAATTACAAGCTATTATCTTATCCTGTGAGAAACCGTATACTATCTATAGTCTATACTACCACACACAAAAAGAAGGCCCAGTCTTTTCAACTTGGACTCAGTTGAAATGGATAGACATATGGTTTCTGTCAACAGTTTCTTCTTTTGGCAGCATACTACTTGGCCCATTTTGTGGCCTCAGCTATAGCACAGGAGTCAAGAGAAAACGGATCAACAGGAAGAAAGAATAAAAGGAATGTGAAGGCCTTATCAGAGTTGAATTTGGAGTACATATGACCACAAAAGGCGGCTGCAGTCGCAGCTAAAGGAGGAAGGAAATGAAGGCTGAGATCTAAGCATTCCACACCAAAGCACAGTCCACTAGGGTATGCTCCTTCTAACACTATACTCTGACTATGGAGATATGATTAATCATCACATTTGATGAGAGACCACTCACGTCAAGTTTAATCAAGGTCGTTATGATGGTATCATTAGGTTTTGGGTAACATTAACAATCCATCAGCAATGCGAACAAGAGTTTAGTCTAGTGATTCTATCGTTAGTCTTCAATCCGAAGTTCCAAGTTTGAATCCCTTAAAGAACACCAAACAATTAAATTAAACCTACGCCATATATGGTGTCGCCACAAACCCATTACTTAATTAAAACCCTAGCAAAATGCGGGGACACGGGACACCCATCATCATTTTCACAAGCAAGCAATTCCAGAATTACAGAGAGAAATCGCGACGGAGGAGAATTCACCTGGAAATTCGAAAAATTCATGGAGAAACGTATTATATAAGTCCTCCTTGAGGACAAGCCGCCCGTCGCGCCCGCCGATTTTGTTCCGTTTCTCCGTCGACTGCGTGCGTTAGTCTCCGATTCCGCCTCCCCTGCTGGCGCCGATTAAAATCCGCGAAGATCGATCGTAATTGAGTCAGCTAGCACCTTCCGATACGGCGATCAGAAACTCCGCCGCAATTGTGGCTTGCGCCGTCGTCGATCGCGCGTCCGGCTACCGCAAGCAATCATGGAGAACCCTGACGCCGGAATCATCGTCGATTGAGGTTGCCGCGGCGGCGGGATGTCGAGTTTTGGGGAATACGATTTAGGGAAGATCGAGGCGGTTGCTATGTGGCTTTGTCTTTTCTCTTTTTTCGTGTGAGGGGTGAATCCGTCGAACTCTCGACAGACTTCTGCACGAGACTCGCGCACGCAAGCCGTCCGAGTGGCTAGCTTGGACGGTATCGACGTGGATAGAAACGGCGTCGTGTAGGGCAAATGAGTGAGTGGGCGAGCGCGGGAAGTTCTTTACGTTCGGACGGTTATTAAGGGGCCAGATGACGTGGCGCGTGGATGCTCCACTGTTCCAGCGATTTTTTTTACTGCTTTTTTTTACACGCAAAAAAGAAGGGGAATGAAAACAAGGAAGTGAATAATAGAGGGTAAGAACTAAGATCGGAAAAATAGATCACATCGTTTGAAATTTAATTGGTCAAGTTTTTTCCTCGGATCCTTCCTCTTCTACGTCAGCTAATTTTCCTTCTCAGCTTGAGAGTTCTCGGTTGACGATCTTATCACCGTCTGGTCCTTTCAGTAAGGTTGTGCATTGTGATGGTTCCTTTGTCTCTGATGCACATGTGGCAGCTTATGGGATTGCTATTGCTAACTCCCACGGTCAGGTTATCGACGAAAGGGCTGAGAGATTCTTTTGTTCCACTCCGATTCAGGCAGAAGCTTTTGCAATTCTCAATGCAGTTATCTTGGCGGCCCACGATCCAGTCTCAACGTGTATCAGGTCTGACTGTCAGAGGTTGACGATTGTGTTGAGATAGGATCCGAGCCTTCGGCCTTGGCATTTCCATTCTTTGTGTTTCTCCTCGGATCTCGCTAGAGTTTGTTCCTTGTCGATTCAATGTGTTAGTTGATTGGATCGCAAAGAACTCTCGTCTTTATCTTCTTCCTCCAGAATGGACTGTCATTGCCGACCTTGTTGCTCCATTATTGTCATTGTAATTCTTCCCACTTGTTTGGGTTTGGAATGAAATGAATGATGTTTGTTGTCAAAAAAGAGAAAAAGCTTGTTCGATCATGTGCTTTTTTTCTGACTAGATCCAAGGTGGGACCCTAAGTTCGGGAATCTCATCCTCTTCTTTATTCACAAACCAAATTTCATCTTAAAGTACAGACGACCGTGTCTCCATATAAAATTATATTAATGTTTAATATAGTTCGGTTGTTTTAACTTTGTGTCTTGTTATTTACTTGAATTTATGGTATAGCAATTACACATACCTGTTGGCACTTAAGTTTTAAGACAAACATGTTTCTCTATTTATTTGTTCAATTTTTGGCCCTGACCTAAACTGTGCAATATTTGGATGTGGTTTATGATTTGTATTCTGACATCTCTGTTTCAACCATAAAATTATATATATAGTTCGATTTAAACCGGACGGGACCATTTTCCATCCGTGCAATCAAATATTACAAATATTAACCTACTTTTCTTTGACTTCACCGCATTGCATTCTTGCGCTGAACGGTAAAGTTAAACTAGACAAAAGTCCGACCCGTTGGCTGGATAAAGGAAAATTTTAACAATTTTACTTGTTGTATACTATTTTTTTTATGAACCTTGTTGTTGTTGTTGTATACTATTAATATTGAGAAAGTTAATTATTTTTATCACCTAAGTAATATACTAAAAATTTAAAGAATGTGAATATTTGATTTATCTATAAACTTCTTCTGAATAATTTTGATTATTTATCTTAACTTTTCTATATCTAATATAATGAATACTATCATGATGATTTATATTAAAATAAGGTATGAACATTCACGTCAGTTACATTCAAAAAAATTAGTGAAAATTCACTAAAAACCAAGAATCTATAATGTCTTTATTTAAAATAATACAAACGCTTATTAGCATTTTTTGTATACATATATATGTACATGTGATATATATGACTCTTGGTTAATGTGATACATTATTGCATTTTCTATGTGGGTAGCCAAGTAATGGTAAAAAAATCTAACAATTTAGTCTTATTTTTGATGTAGTTCGTTTAATCAAGCTTTTATTGACTCCGTGATTGGTGATTTTTAATCTCCATCACATAACATTTCAAAATTTACTAATTCTTCTTGCGTAGGCCTCAAATTTGCTTGCTTTGAATTAAGTCATTACATATCCTCTATGTATCATAGTGGAACCGGTGAAATAGCAAGGGTGAGAAATATATTATATTTGTATAAGAAATGTGCATTGCTCAATCACAGCAATCGATCTAAAGAGATCTATTAGTTGAGATTCAATAAATATATTTAAATATTATTTTTTTTTTCTACCTCATTTAAACGATTAGTGGACATTGTCGGAGTTACATTGATTGATGTGGGGTCAGTGGACCCCACTTGGATAGGAAGCTCACGTTAAAAAAGAATGGAATACCAAGGGAGGGCTGGGGGATTCGACCCATGGACCCCACATTTCCAAAATACTAGTTTAGCCATTGGGATACCGTATTTCTTTTTAATCTTTGGACCCCATTAAATTTTTTGCTGGCTACGCCAATGTTAGTGGAGGAGCTAGGTTGAAATCGAGAGTGGCTACAACAACTCTAAAATTTGAAGTTTTGATAAATTACATGTAAAATTTGAACTCGATTTCAATAGTAAGATATTCAGATTAGTGACTTGAATATTAATTAATTATTTTTTGCATTAATTCTCATTCCTCTGCGAGAGCTGAACGTTGTGTAATAGGAGTGGAACAAAAAGTGTATTTACGTAGTAATTAATTAATACCAGTGGAAGAGCAGTAATTAATTAATACTCAAGTTGGTTTCCTCCTTCGAGTAATATGTTTCCAATGACGCAAGTTTTTTTCCTCCTTCAAGTAATATGTTTCCAATGTGGTGCTGAAAATAAGCTGTCTTTAGTTTATGGACTCCTTTCGGTAACGAGTTTCATCTTTATTTAATTGAGTTTAGCAAAAGTGCCGAGGTGCCCTTCCTTCCTATGCGCACAGCACAGTAAAAATAGAATGGGGTGGGTTCTGCCGAAGAAGCTCCATATATGATTGGGAGGGAAGGGAGGATTCTTTAAACCTTTTTTTTCCAACAATCAATTACTTTATCTACAAAACACTATAAGGCAATGTCAATAAACAGCCTTTGCCACGTCAGTCGTTGCTCAAGCGACCGCACAGTTCGGAGGTCCTTTATGGACATTTCCAATCCATCTCTTTCTCGGGCTCTCTCTTCCGCTAGCCTGCCGGAAACCGACTTCCCTCACCTCTATGAGTTCTCTTCTCTCTTGCTGCATCTTCCACAACCATCTCTTCCTCGGTCGCTATCTTCCGATAACCTGGCGGAAAAGGGACTTCTCTTAGGTGTAGACTTCTCGCCCCATCTTCCCCACTTACAAGATTCATGAATTTGAAGTAATTCCAGACCTTTACGCCGCCTCTACTCACAGCAGCTCCGACGTTCCTTTTGGCAAACTGAATCTGAATTCAGAATCCCCCACAGTAGGTCGCTCTATTTTTCTTCGATCGTCGTTGTATTTGTTGCCGAAGTTGGTCTGTTTAGCAAGCCCCCAACAAAAGATCCTGACTCCTCTCCATTTCGACGTCTCTCTCCCAACCCGTGCAAGAAGAAAATCCATCTGCCTCTGTCTCGCTGTCTCCGTCCGTCTCGCACTGTAGTCGACTTCCCAAACAATTTCGCCGCCTCCTATTATGTGCATGATGTAAAGGACAAGTTGCAGTCGACATCATAAAAACAATCAGGTTGCTAATTCCTATTGAAATTTCAGTGGACATCCAAGTAATCTGTGGCTTAGTGTGTCAGTCACCGTTTAACGAAGTGTCTTCCTTTCTACGTTGCAGCTTCTCACTTCCTTATGGTTTGATGTGTATACTATTTCTCTGGCTAATTTGGGGTTAATTGTGATCTTTCCGTTGCCACTTGCCAACCACCGTTGATGGTTCCAGATTGAAGGAAACTAAGTTGAAGGTATGTCCTCTCTCTTCGAAAACCAAGATTGCAACGCCTTGGTCTATAATAGACAGTTTGCCAATGCAATGTACGCCTTGGAATGTTTGAGAACTTATATATTGATGTTTCTTTCTATGGGTGTTTGATTGAACTTAGAAGGGTTTGATACTGATACCCTTGCATTTTTTATTGTTGGGATGTGTCTTTAGCCATTTCCTTCTCAAACATAAATGAAAGGCCCACGGTACTGCTGTTAGTGATTTGTTCATCTGCCTTCTCAGAATGCAGGCCATTCTTCTTTGCATTTTCTTGCTTTCACTATCTTCCAAGGAAATGCTCCAGCTATCATGATTTTGTTTCTGCCTTCTAATTGATTGTTTGCAAGCTCTTTTTTTTATTTGTATGAGCCAGAATAAAATTCTTGAGATGGCATATTACTTATACTGAATTAGTTGTAGCTTCCAAGCATGATAATGTAATGAATCAAAAGTAGTTTGTGATAAGCAAAAGCAGTTTGTGATTATGTTTTGATTACATTGCTTCTTTTGTTCTTAGTGTTGTTCTGAGAATTGCTTACTAAGATGCTTCAGCTATCATGATTCTGTTTCTGCCTGCTAATTGGTTGCTTACAATCTTTTTTGTCACTCAAATTGTTAAATCCACAAGCTGAGCATTCTTTGGTTAGCATTGACCATGATCCACTTCAGGTAAATGAACTTTCAGCTGAACCTCACTTCAGTTGGGCTATAGGGTACCCGATTACTTTCATAGTTTAAAGCTACTTTGTACCTAAAATTTGCTTGCAGCAGTTCAGTAAGACTCTGAGTCTTGAGGACCTTTGAGGGACAACCTTAACCGGGCTGAAAAGGAGACATGCTCCCGATTGTGACCCTGGCGAGGAGAAGTAATGTTGCTGAAACCTTTATGTACCTATGGGGCGCCATCTGAAGCTTCTACTTAGTATTAGATTTATCTTTTTATTCAGGTTCTATTGAAACTCAGTTTCTATGTTGTTTCTCTTATGGTTTTCTACTTCTGTTCAGTTTGAATTGTGGAGAATATTACTAAGCTTTGTCTGCAATCCTTTCCCATATGTTGGATATTTCCCCCTTCTATGGATTCGCTTCTTTTGTTCCTTAGTTCCTGGTTTTTAATGTAATCTGATTGTTGATGATAGTAATGATAAGCTATTGACAAAATTTGTTGCATTTTTACATGATCTGATTGTTTGAGTTTGCTGTCTTTGTAGAGTAGAACTTTGACTCTTGATGTACCAGAAAAATTGTAGAAGTAGTTACATCCAAGAGATGAGCAGAATAAGGTTTTTAATGATTCCAGATAGGACTTGATTTGTTACTCCCTACTACTACTTCAACATCATGCTTAAACTCTACTGTTTGCTTCACTTCAGCCTGCCATTCTGACACGTTCATTATTTGCTTACAATTTGCAGAAATTGATTTTGTTATAATTTAATCATTTCTATGCAACTTTTTTATCAAGTATTTCTTGATTACAGTGAATGTTTCATCGCAGTGACAACTAAAATGTATGTTTGTATCATATAGTGCTCTTATGTATCTGCAATTTGAGGTTATTAACCTTGAAATAGAATCTCATAAGCTATTTAATGGTTAGGTGAGCCTCACCTCTCCAGGACGTGATGATTGATGGGAATGACATTAATACCAAAGCTACATTTTATCTTATGAGTCATTCCAGCTAGCTCAAGTTCTTAACTGATGCGACCTCAAATAACAAATGTACGAAACCATTATGTTTGTAGGCTTCATTAACCCTATGTCTTACTCCATCGTAGCTTTTGCTCTACAGCTTTCACTTAAGATTCATGTTTGAAAAATGCATATCAGTATCTAATTAGTGGATGAAGGGAATTAAATGAGGCCATAATGAAAGATGAGAAGCTCCAAAAGCCAATTTTTTCAAGGGATGTCTGCAGGAACATAACATCAATGCTAATAGATATCAATAGGCATGTGGACTATGTAGAATAAAAAAAATCAATTTAACATGCTTCGCAAAACAACACTAAAAACGGCTACAATATTTTTAAGTTGTTGAACCATTAGTGACAAATTATGCTTTTTAATCCTCCCTCTGTTCTTCAAATTTCGAGAAACCCCGACCAACGGACGGGGCCCAATGCTAGTTTTTATATAATACCAATAAAAAAAATTCAATTACTTTATTTTTATCACCCAATCTTTTTTTTATATAATACCACCTGACCCAATCAATTACAATCTTTAATCACCAATCGAACTTCTCTCTTTCAACCGATGGGCCTGCAGCTGGACATAGTCTTCGAGCAATATTGGGCCAGGGCCCAACGTTGCAGTGAAGGTTGAAGGTCCATTTCCTTCACCTCGGGTGTGGGACGAGAGCAACCCTGGAGCTCGAATCCTGGGATGGCCTCCAATGGCGCTTCCGCTGGTTTATGAACCAGTTGTTGATCTGCTTCTGGTCCAACCCCGTCGTCTCTGACAGCTTCACTTTCTCTTCTTCCTATACATACAGTACCATTTTTCATCAAAAAAACCAATCAAAGAAAACATCAAAACAACTGATCATGTGATAAATAAACAAAAACATACGGTGGGATATGGCCATCTGCGGTGTTGAGTCCACCATTCCAAGAGTGCGGCCGTGGCATCCTTGGGGAGCTTGCCTGGCTTTCTCTTCTTCATGAACTCTTTCCTCAGATTGCTCAAGTAGCCGCTGTACTTCCTTTGCAGCATTTCCCTCAGCTCTCGCCGGCTGCTGCCGCCGCCTAATGGTTGTTGTTCCTGGTAGTAATTATGGCTGCTCTCTGCGTGCTCCTCTTGCCCTTGATCATGATCATTTGCAGCTAAGAAATACAGCAAGAGAATGCACAAGATAAGATACATATCACTAGCGATCGAGCCACGTTTCACTCATTTAGAAAGAAAAAAAGGAGAGCACATTATCAAACTCATTTCGATTTCGAATCATTTGCACCAAGGGTGTGTTTTGTTTTAACGAAAAATGGTCCCTTATCGACTTTATAAATCGGCAATTATTACGACTGTCGGTTCAACCTTGGCGACGGGTGATGAAAGGCTTGTAGTTGACCAATACTTCTCACAAGTGTGGTATTCGTCACAATGACGACATACATCAATGAGATTTAAACCAGAAATCAACCCGTTCGATTCTAATGTCAATACCGTTGGGTTCACACCTCAACAAAGTGTGCATGTGCAGGTGGCAAATAGACGAGGATCCATGGATTGGTGGATCCATAGATTAAATGAATTGGTGGATTCATGGATTGGATCATGGATCCAAGTGAGATCTAAACATGGACTAATATGTAAAATTTTGAAAATTCTAGGTACTAAAATGTCATAACAAAAAATCATGTACCAAAAACGTAATTTCCAATGACATTTTTTCGTAAAAAAAAAATAATTTTCGATACCAAACTGTAAATCATAAAAAAACATAGATACTAGAATGTAATTTACCAACGATACAAGAATCCACCAATCCAATTGAATTTGGATCAAAGAGATTGAATTGAAATAGTAGATTGGATTACAAATTGCCACATCTATGTGCAAGAAATGTGGTAAGAAGTGTGCCAATTAGTGGCCTGCACCAAACTTAGCTAGCTAGCTAGCTAGATGATTAGCTGGTTGGAGGATTAGTTGGATACCAATGTGATTAACAAATGATGATTACCTGATTGGGAGGAGGAGGAGACTGCAGCAGCCAAGGCTTTGGAAGTGAGTTTGCAAAGATTGGTGAGTTGGGATTCCATGGTGGTCAAGAAGCTTGTTGCCTCTTGAAATGGCTTGCTCAATTCCTCCTTGTAACTATGAAGGAGTTCACAATATGACTCCTACAAAGAATGAAAAAATCAGTTAAAAGGCGTTTCCTTCCATTCCAGCTAATGATTCCACTCTCGAGCGTTGTCAAAAGGGGGCTAGATGTTGTGCATTCTAACGCGTTCAAAGTGCGCATCCAAAAGTTTTAAATTATGCATGAAAGAAAAAAATTGTAGCAAAAAAGTTAAGCACATTTAAAATGCACGTTCACTATAAATTAATGCACTATTTGTTATGAGAACTCTGTCACTGATCCGTCTTCTAACATGAATTGAAAGTTTGTTATCCTCGCTTTTACCACCAGATCAACTCCTTACATATATGAGATAGTACAATCGACGACATACCATGAAGCGATCGAGTTCAGGATCGCGGTCAGGAGCTCCTCCGATCGTATGATCATTGATCATCATGATGTGGTGATCAACATTGTTGCTGCAAGATGATGAGTTGTGTGCTGCTGTTGATGAAGATGATGATGATGATGATCTCATATCCATGATCTCTTCAAGAAGAGAGACAACTTCTGGAGGAGCACCCACTTTCTGGCAGTCGATGTGAGCAGAAACTAAGCTTGGGTAGAGTGGGTGGCCTGCAATCTGCCACTTGATCATATTCCTGTCATCTTCTTCCTCAACTTGATCGTGATCCCCTGCTTCTGGAAGTAGCAGTCCTTCTGCAGCAGCTTGATCTCCATTATCATCACCATGATCTGTGTACAGATCTTCCATATCTATGTGTAACGTTCTGTAACTATAGTGTAATGGGCAAGAGCTAAAGAGTTAGTGGTACAAAAGGAGATTAGAAACTGATAAGTTTAATGGTAGAAGGGAGAAGAGAGTGAGTAACAGGCAACCAGGGGATTTGTTGAAATGGAGATTGGAGGCAGAGCACTCTTATCAACAAGAAAAGTGGACAGTAAGATTTTGATAGAAACTAGTATTTAGTTATTTTGATTAATTGTCGAATTATTGTTATTTCGAATTATTGGGACTATTTTGGAAATTGGGAAATAAATTATATGTCGGGTAGCAATAAGAAATTATTCAATTATTATATAAATTGTTTGTCAGTGGGATAAGGCCACTAAGTAACCTAGTTACTCAATTTTCCTCTCTCTCTCTCTTCCTCTGGCCGCCGAGCCTCTCCTCCCTTTCCCCTTGGCTGCCGCGGCAGCACCTCCCCTCCCCTCTCTTCTCATGATCAACCCCAAATCCACTCCTCTTACCATTTCCCAAATCTTTGGATCAATCCCTAGTTGATCCTAATCCCTAATCAACCGATAGAGCTCGGACTCGAGTTCTATCAATTGGTATCAGAGCCAATCCTTCTTTTGACTGGCATCATGGTCTCCACCTGAAATAATCGTAGGAAACAATATGCAATCACACAACGCAAGGATTTACGTGGTTCTTCTCATTCGATGTGAATGAGCTTACTCCACGGAGAAACTATGCTATCTCAGCTTTTGTTATTCTTAGCTTGCACTTTGCAGTCGATCACTTTACAGCATGTATTTATACAAACCCTAATCAACTAATCTCTCCTAGGGTTGTACACGAGCAGCGGCCAAGAGGGAAAAGACAGAACTAACCCTTTGGCTTAATAGAACTGCAAACTAGAATGTCCGAGAGTTGAGATCAAAGAGGCGATACCCCTTCTGAGAAGCTGGGTATCCCATGAATACAGAGCGCCTGCCGCGCTCATCGAACTTTGAAAGCCCTTTATGAGTATCTTTTCCATAAGCTAAACACCCCAGAACCCGAAGGTGGGCATACGATGGGGGTTTTCCAAGGAGAACTTCATAAGGAGAGCGATCTTGCAAAACGTTACTCGGTAGTCGATTGATGAGGTAAGTGGCGGTTAAGAAACAATCCCCCCAAAACCTCAATGGTAGATTTGCTCGAAATCGTGGTGCCCGAGCTGTCTCAAGTAGATGGCGGTGTTTCCGCTCAACAACCCCATTCTGTTACGGGGTATCGGTACAAGAGGTCTGCAAAACGATGCCGCGATCCTCATAGAACGCACGTAGAGAGCTGGTTTGGAATTCCAACCCATTATCAGCCTGTATCCGTGCAACCTGCTGATTGAACTGAGTCGCAACCATGTTGATAAACATTTTTAAGTACCCTTCAACATCCGTCTTATAAGACATGAGATATACCCAAGTAGCTCTGCTAAAATCATCAACAATCGTAAGAAAATAGCGAGCTGAATTCCGAGTGGGAACCTTGAAACTGCCCCAAATATCCACATGGATAAGTTCAAAACAACGACTAGTCTTTATCGAATGTCTAGGAAAGGGCAACCGAGTTTGCTTAGCACGCATACAAGAATCACAAGTCGTGCCATTGCATTTATTCTGAACTGAACGAAATAATAAAGGGGTCTTCTGCTGTGATGGATGACCTAGCCGAAAATGCCAAAGCTCCCCAGTCCCTCGTTACTGCTAGCAACCAAAGCCTGGGATCCTTCAACACCATTAAGCCGAAGATAATATAATCCATCACGAAGCTGGCCCGTCCCAATCGTCTTCCTGGAGTGTAAGTGATAAGGCCTCGATTGGCTTAGCTCAGAATCACGCAGCGATGAATCAAAATTGGATGAATTTGGGGATGAAACTCGATGGAATTTAACAAACTAAATCAGCAACTTCAACACGAAAAGGGAAGAGGCTAATCCAGGTAGAACTACCACGAGATCAAGGGTGACAACCTGATCTCTAGGTCTGCAATTCTCGGACAAACAACCAAGAACCAAAAGCTCGCAAGCTATAAAACTCCTCGGAGTAATTTCGATTAAACTTCAACGTGTCTTGTTACAACTCAAAGCTTGAATATTTATAGCCAAGAAACCTAATTACAATCCTAAACAAACAAGGCAACAATTCTGAATCAAACAAGGAAAAAGAAAACGTTTAACAATCAAAACTTGCATCCTAAGTAACTAACTTCTCTCACAAGTAAACTGTTCCAAAACAGCCTTTGATGTCAACTTTGTGGTTTTGGAAATCGGTCTTCTGGGTTGAGTCGAGCTCAACCAATTCCTTCCCTTGGTTTAGAAAGTCTTGCCATTCCATTCCCAACTCCAAGCTCCAGCTGGTCATGCCCCAAACTCCTTGAATTCGAGTTCAAAGTTGGTACCTTAAACTGTTTTCCTGCCTTAGCCAAAAACTGGCAGATTCCAGAATGCATGATAGGGTTTTGATGGCTTTGGAAAACAATCCTCCTGACCTTATTTCCACAAACCAAACGCATAAAACTATAAACAAACATCCAAGGTTCAAAATGAGACCCTAACCTTGCATTTCTAGTGAAGGGTTTGAGAGATACGGCCCTCCAAAGTACCCTTCCCAAAACTGTCTCAACACTTAGGAAAATTCCATCATTGTTCGTATTAACTCGACCTGATCTTTGAACGTTTTGTTTGAGATGATTCAAGGTTGGAATTGAGATCATATCAAGCCCCCGTTCTTTAAAAAGCTTTGACCTCAAAGCTTGGATCATCCTGAATTCATAACGATAGAGAAAATCCTCCCACACAGGATCGCAAAAATTAAGTCCATAAACCTGATTTTCCGGCGAGCTTGTCGACATTGCGGCTTTCCGTTTCAGGCGTTCCCGTCGCGATTGATTGTTTTCATTCACCTCTACCAACTCCCACAATTCGAATTCAACAGGTTTCGGGCGTCGATGATTGAAAATTCGGCTCGAATTGAGCCTCGACGATTTCCCGCCACCGGGGAATTCAAAATTCCCATATTCCGGCAAAAGTTTCCCAGAATCCGGCGAGGCTTGCTGAAAATTGGGCGTTTCGTCGTGAGGCGTCGCCGAGCTGTTTTATTGATCCCCACACCTTCCTTGAGACCCCACGAGTTGATTCCAAGTGTTGGATTGCTTCGAATCGTGCCCGAACTCCGCATCCGATTCTCACATTTTCTCTTCCTTGTTCGGCGCTTTTGGAGGCAGAATTGGGTTTTTGGAACTCGACTATTGGGCTTGCTTCATCCGAAATTCATTGTCTCTACACGTTGTTGGGTGATTGTGGAAGGTTTCCACGCTGGCTGCTTGCTCCGACGTGCCCCCAGCGGTTCTACCCCATTCGGTGGGATTCAGGGCGGCTGTAAAACAGGGCCGACGCGCTCTGCTTCTCCGCGGGACTGTTCTGCCAGCAAGAACAGTTAGCAAATACCTCCTAGCCAACAACTGAGCCTTGGAAGCTTCTTTCTTTGACCCATCTTCATCCTTAGCTCGACCTCACGCCATATGTTGCTGGTCGGCTCAAATTTCTTCCGACGACAGAGGCTTAAGAATCACTTTCCTTCCTCCATTCTCAAACGTGTACTGGTTTGTTCGGCCATGATGAGAAACCTTTCGGTCAAATTGCCAAGGCCTTCCCAAGAACAAGTGTGTGGCCTGCATCGAAATGACATCGAAGAGCAGCTCGTCCCGATACTTTCCAATTGAAAATGGAATTCGGACCTGTTTGTTTACCTTGATCACAGCGTGATCACTGAGCCAGTGTAGAGAATATGGTTCAGGTCGAGGAGTCATAACCAAACCCAATCGTTTCACGACGTCGAGGCTTGCTACATTGGCACAACTTCCCCCGTTAATGATCACCGTCAAAATTTTCCCTTTAACCTGGCATCTAGTGTGAAACAGGTTGCTTCTCTGGTCCATTTCAGCAGAATCTTCCTCCTGACTTGCCAAGGCTTGACAAACTACAAACAATGGCCCCTTGTCCGCTTCCGTCTCTTCTCCCTCCAAGTTACCAGCAGTATTTTCCTCGATCTCCTCCTCGTCTTCAGAGTAGTACTGACCATCTCGGAGTACCAAAACCTTCTGGTTAGCACACTGATGCGATTTGTGCCCATAACCGTGGCATTTGAAGCATCTAATACTGCCACTAGAAGTCCCTTGCCGATCCTGGGTTGCTGGCGGAGTTTGCCTCACAGGTTTGTTGGGCAATTCCATTTTGAAATCAGGTTCAGGGACTGGCTTGCTTGCTGGAGTAAAGCGCCTACTGGAACCTTGCTTCAACTGCTTCTCAACCTTCACCGCCAGCTGTACAACGTCTTCAATGTCCACGAATGGAAATAATTCCACCTGATTTTTAACTTCTCGATTAAGGCCCTGCAAAAATCGACTGATGGTGGCTTCTTTGTCCTCTCGAATATCGGCCCGGATCATAAGAAGATCCAGCTCCCTGTAGTATTCCTCCACGCTTCTGCTTCCCTGCCGAAGTGATTACAGTGTCTCGTGGAGATCACGCTGATAATACGAGGGCACGAACCTTTCCCTCATCAAACTTCTCATCTCCAACCAAGTAGCAATGGGAGGAAGACCAATTCGTCTTCGCTTAATACGTACCTGCTCCCACCAAGCAGCTGCGTACCCGCCAAATTCATACGAAGCAAGCGTAACCTTCTGCTCCTCAGAATAGTTATGACAGTCAAAGAATAAGATTACTTTTCGTTCCCAATCCAAATATTCAGCCGGATTGAGACCTCCTTGAAATGAAGGGATACTGAGTTTGATTCCCTTCAACTCGCCAACACCCCCTGTTTCTGGCGGACGTCGATCGTGATCACGGAATTCGTGATTTGGCTCGCGATGGTGGGTGCCCGCGAGAGCTAGCTGCCGTTCCAACTTTCTAATTCGCTCGGTGAGCACCTGAGGGCTTTGATCTCCGTCGTCATCAAGGGTTGTCTCGTGTTTCGTCGTCCATTTCGGAGATTTTGGCTCTGTTGTCGTCGCCTTCAACTCTGCCAATTGGTGGTTGATATTGTCGAACTGAACCTGGAATGTGGCGTTCAGTTGCGCCATTATCGTTTTCAGCAGCTCGGTGGTATTAATTGGTTCCGCCATAGTAAATTCTTGGACGTCGATGTCCT